ATTCTTTGAGTACTCGAAGAATAAGTTGCTTTCACACATTTCCCTGATTCTACATTTTTCTGGTTTTTACATACTTCTTTCCCAGTGCCCTGCAAAACATACAATGGGGACTCTGGTGTACTCTGAAAACTTGACCTAAGGAAAATCGGCTCCAGAAGACGCCTGGTATCGGTAAAGGGGCAAAAGTCCATCTTTTGGATGCAGCTAAACGGGCACTTGCAGACGTTTTGAGAGCAAGGCTCGAAGGCAATGTCAGCAATGTTACGGTTAGGCATAAAAGCCACAGAGAAGCACTTGAGGCGCAGCCGAGAGAGCGGGGTCTTCGCCGCCGGCTCGTTGGTCTAGGGGTATGATTCTCGCTTAGGGTGCGAGAGGTCCCGGGTTCAAATCCCGGACGAGCCCTTGGGTTTTTGCGTCAACGGTGCCACGTGCTTCCTCCCCTCGCAGGGAGGGGGTACAGGGCCATCTGCTGGCAGGTGAAGGGCTATAACCGTAGCATCCCTGCCTCCTCTGGGACGGTCGCATTGAAGGAAGGCCGAGCTATCGGCTACCCTGAGGCCGCTGGGCAGCGTTTTGTAAAAGTGCCCTGCCAAGAGTTGTTTGTGATCCAGGATGCGGTGGAACTCTTGTGGGGTGAATGGCCAGAGCTGACACTTTGCCCCATTCAATTCTTTTCCTGCGCAAAGAAAAGGTTGAGCCTGATCACCATCAAAAGCCTAGCATAATGTGCCCACACCCCCAGGCCAAGCCACGAGGCCGCACGTCTACGTATAAGCGGGTGACAAATGTTGGCTTCAGGAGCTGCTGAGATTTCAGGCTGTGTTTTTTGGGGGGCAGACTGTGTGGAAAACTCTTCATTTGTGAATCTGATTTGAACCGGAAGTCTGTATTTGATGTCGGGGGGCTCAGCCGGCTCTCTTACAGGGAAACCATTGACGTGATACGGCTTACCGCACCTATGATGAAAGTAACCAGGATGTAAAAGTTCCAGCCGTGCTCCAGGTGAGGCTCGAACTCACAACCTCGGCATTGCCCAACAGATACTGCCATATAAGTACCGCGCGCTAACCGATTGCGCCACTGGAGCCCTCGACGGTGCCCCTGCCTTCAGGCGGCAGGACATTGTTTGGTGGACAGCATTGCGCCTCTTGAACTTAGTTACAAGCAGGTGGGTCCAGGCGCTGCGAGCCAGCACAGGCGCAGGCTCGTTGGTCTAGGGGTATGATTCTCGCTTTGGGTGCGAGAGGTCCCGGGTTCAAATCCCGGACGAGCCCAGGCTTTTGTAAAGGCATGGCCGCCATAAGCTCGGCATCGGCCTTCGACCTGTTGCCGAGGCAGAAGAGCACCGAAACCCAAGGGATTTCTAATGTGTCCGCAAAGGCTAGGGCAGCTTGTGGGTTTTCTTGGATTTTACCCTCCAAATGTTGTGCTAATGTTCCCAAAATGGGCTGTTTGTGATTGTCTTCTCTGACTTTAGGTTGTGCGTGTGACAGGCAGAGAGAGAGAGAGATGTCTGGCACGTGGCCCCGCCCCCTTCCAAGGGGTTACATTAATACTGCAATGCTCCACCCTTGCCATTAACACAGTAAACATTGTATTTCAACGTTCAACTGACTCCTGCACTGCCATTCTTTGAGTACTCGAAGAATAAGTTGCTTTCACACATTTCCCTGATTCTACATTTTTCTGGTTTTTAC